GCCAAAGTGCAACTGGAGTAGCAACTAGCAAGTGATGTGAAGGGTAACAAGAAAGGTTTCTACAAGTATGCCAGCAGAAGAGGAAGATCAGGGAAAGTTTGTGTCCCTTACTGTTCCTAGTGAGAGATGATGCACAAGATTCAATGCCTCCCCACCGCCCTCCAGTCTTCACAGGCAAGCTCAGCTAATGCACCTGGCAGCACAGTTTGGGGACGAGGTGAGAAGCCAACAGTGGCAAGAGAACAGGTTACAGACTATTTAGAAAAGCTGGATGTGTACAAGCCCATGGGGCTGGATGCGATGCACCCAAGTGTGCTGAGGGAGTCGGCCAGTGTGATCACAGGGCCACTGGCCATTATCTTTGAAAATTCATGGAGATTAGGAGAGGTTCCAGATGCCAGAAAAGGGCAAATATAGGGTTCATCTTTAAGAAAGGGAAGGAGGAGGATCCAGGGAAATATAGACCAGTTAGTTTCACCTCAGTCCCTGGAAAAATCATGGAGCAAATCCTCAAGGAATCCATTTCTAAGCACTTGGAGGAGAAGGCGATTAGGAACAGCCAGCATGGATTCAAAAGCAAGTCGTGCCTGACCAACCTGATTACCTTCTATGATGAGGCATCTGGCTCTGTGGATGCGAGGAGAGCAGGGGATATGATATATCTTGACTTTAGCAAGGCTTTTGATAGAGTCTCCCACAAAATTCTTGCAAGCAAGCTAAGGAAGTATGGGATGGATGATGACTGTAAGGTGGATAGAAAAAAAAACTGGCTGGATTGCCAGGCTCAACGGGTAGCAATCAATGGCTCAGTATTTAGTCAGCAGCTGGTATCAAGAAGAGTGCCCAGTGGTTTTGTTCAATATCTCCATCAATGACCTGGAAGACAGGACTGAGTGCATCCTCTGCAAGTTTGCAGATAACATCAAGCTGTGGGGGGAGTAGTAGATATGCTGGAGGGTAAGGCTAGGATTTAGAAAGACCTGGACAAGTTGGAGGATTGGACCAAAAGAAATCTCATGAGGTTCAATAAGGACAGGTGCAAAGTCCTGCACTTAGGACAGAGCAATCCCATTCACCAGTACAGGCTGGGGGGTGACTGGCTGGGCAGTAACTGCAGAAAAGGACCTGGAGGTTACAGTGGACAATAAGCTAAATATGAGCCAATAGTATGTCCTTGATGCCAAGAAGACTAACAGCATACCAGGCACTAGTAGATCAAAAGGAAATGATTATTCCCCTCTATTCAGCACTGGTGAGGCCCTATCTAGAGTACCGGGTCCAATTTTGGGCCCCCACTATGGAAAGGATATGGACAAATTAGAGAGAATCCTGTGGAGGGCAACAAAAATGGTTAGGGGCCCGAGGCACACGACTTAATGAGGGGAGGCTGAGGGAAATGGACTCATTTCGTCTGGAGAAAAGATTGAGGGGGGATTTAATAGAAATCTTCAACTACTTGAAGGGTGGTTACAAAGGATGGAGCAAAACTGTTCAGTGGTGACAGATGACAGAACAAGGAGCAACGGTCTCAAGTTGCAGCAAGGGAAACTTAGGTTAGGTATTAGGAAAAAAAATTCTCACTAGAAGGACAGTAAAGCACTGGAACAGGTTACCCAGAGAGGATGTGGAGTCTCCTTCCTTAGAGGTTTTTAAGACCCGGGTAGATAAAGCCTTGGCTGGGATGATCTAGTTGGGAATGGTCCTGCTTTGAGCAGGGGGTTGGACTAGACCTCATGAGGTCCCTTCCAGCCCATATTTTTCCTATGAGACATGCAAATACAAAGGTCAAAATAGTCCACTATACAGCAGAGTGCTGAACTGGACAGGGACTGGCACCATGCAGCAGTCCCTGCAGCTCCAAAATAAGGCTTAGAAACAGAAGATACACCTCCACTAGTACACTAAAAAGTCTGTTAAGCATTTCTGTCAATAAGATAACGGTCAAAAATAGTTCATGACTATCTATTATTTATCAGTAGAAGTCCAAGGTCCGCAGTGCAATAAAAGTCTTTCCTAGCTTTAGTCACCGAGACAACTTAGTTTCCCATAGTGTTGTTCTGCTATGCCATTTCCTCATTCATCTCTACAGGAATTAGTGTATCATCTTTAATAGATCTAATCACTCAAGTCCAAATCTGAGAGCATTTAGAACTGGAGAAGTAGTATTCCAACTCAATTAGTGCAGGCTGCTGAAAAAACAAAAGCGTCTAAATTAATTTTAAAAGATTGCTAGACGATTTAGAAATCTGAGTTTACGAGCTTATTTTGGCTCATCAGAATAACACTCTGAGCACCCATGCAGCAATTTCATTAAATTGGTATAAAAACCAACTCCCCAATTTAAACCAAAACACAGAACTGACCCAAGCAGGGTGCGGGGCCCGGGGCAAATCAGCCTGTGCGAGGCCTCACCCCCGCCCTGATCCCATGCGCCCCGGGTCCGAAAAAAATAGTGTCCAGGGAGGGGTTTGCAAGTGGCTGGATGTAGCCACTCTGCCTGGCTCCGTGGGGCCCCCCAAAGTGCAGGGCCTGGAGAAGTCACCCCAATTAGCCCCCCCGCTAAGGACGGGCCTGCCAAAACAACATTTTCACATGAACAAGACCAGTGATGTGAAACAACACATGGCATGAAGACAATGAAGTACTTACAGTATTCTACATTGTCCTTTGACAGGCTTTTCTCAGTGGGACATTTTGTAGTCTGGGGAAGACTGGACGCATCTTGCAGCCTCCTTTGCAATATGTTGCTTCCACTTTTTCCATCTTCATTTGTTTGCACTTTATGAAGTATATCCTTATTGCCACTAATCTGAAGACAGAGGTTGAGGCAGGTTAGTACAATAACCCAACAAATTCCTAGTTTGAAAGTTTTTTTTCCAAATGATTAAATACTCCACGTGATGAACATTTTGGCAGATAAGCAAACATGACAACACAAGCGGATCAGTTATGACTTGACATTTACCAGCGCTCACAGAGGAAGGGAGGGGGAGGCCAGCAGCATTTACCATTCTAGACTCTTTCCTCCCTTGGGAGGATAAGAAATTGCTTTCAGTCTTTAGCCCAATGTGTAGTTTCGCCATGCCTCACAAAACAAAAAGAACCATGGCATGCTCTATTCCCCTTCCTGTGGTCACCCTTAACATTATACCTCCAACTACAAAATAAATAAATATTTCCATTATGTATCAATACCTTGAATATTTTCTTCACTTGCTGCAGTCTCTCCCTTTCAAAATTCCCACTTGTCTTTTCCTCAATGGCTCCTTCAGCACTGAAATAAAGATACCATCACAAACCTAACTTAAACACAATAACACAGTCACCCTTTGCAAGCCCGTCACTACATGTAGCATCTGAAATCTAATGGCTAGAGGTGTGTTGCCGCATTGTGTAGGCATTATTTTCCACCACGTCAGAATAGCCGCTACCTGAAATGACCTCTGAAAGACAGCTTGCTAAAATGCCTGGACTACACATAACCTACATACAAGGTCAATGATCACACCTGGGTTTAATCGGGACAAGTGACAATAGTTTATAGGTGGTTTCAAAATTTCTAACTACAGGGCTGGGCAGTTTTCTTACAAGTTAAATTTGAACCATAGGAAAAGAAGCCCTGATGAGGGGAATGGGGGAATGGAATTAAATGGGAGTGTTGTCAAGTCAGTGATTTTTTGGGTGATCAGACATAGATGCCTACACACATGACGGATTCTTGCTCCAATGCGTGCTGATTAGCATGCACTGGAGCAGACTCAATTAGTTGCTAATTAGCATGCTCCAGCAGCCTCGGAGTCGCATGTATTCAGCATCCCTGTGCTTCAAAATGGCAGTGGAGGTACATTAACTAAAGCTCATTGAATGAGCTGTCATTTTGAAGCACAGGACACTGAATACATGAGATGCTGCGTGAACTTTAGAGCAGATCAGAGCCACTCTAAGTCACCCCCCCCCCCCGAGTTGCGCTTGTAAGTCCCCCCCCCCCCCCGACACTGGAGCACATGTAAAGATGCCCACTAGCACTTCAATTAGACATTTATCATGTTACATCAATCTTCATTAGGGCAAACAGATTACCAAGCTTCAGAAATTAAATTTACTGCAGCTTTTCAAATTCTAATATTATAAAAGCCTTAGTCTGTCTGTCCGTAACACTTTATTTGAATTCTGATTGGCTGACTGAAACAACCAGAGAGCTCTAAGAGCATTTGGATAGGAGACTGTGCAGCAAAGTGCTGCCACAATGGTGGGGACACGAAGGACAGAGCATGGGGAGGAGTGGGCCCATTCCTATCCCTCCCCCAACTGGACATGGAGCTGCTGGGCTCAAACAAAAGCTGGCAGGGAGGGGAAACACGGTGGGGGCGCTCTGCTGCCACACCCCAACAACAGCC